TACCTGTAGCAGCAGCTTCTGAAGCTCTGCGTGTAGCAACAGCAGCAGCAGCAGCAGCAGCAGCAGCAGCAGCGGCGGATCTTCTGCGTGCCTTTTTGCCCCTTCTTGCTGTTGTTGCTGGTGCTGTTGCTGCTGCTCCTGCTGCTGCTGCTGGTTGCTGCAGCAGCTGCTGCTGTCCGAACAGATGTAATATATGTTGTATTGCTGCTGCTTTACTTCGTGCTGTTTGTGCTTCATTCTCCTCATCTGCTGCTGCTGCTGCTGCTGCTGCTGCTGCTGCTGCTGCTGGCTGCTGTCTGTCTCCATCATCGCTGCGAGGAAAAGCAGCAGCAGCAGCAGCAGCAGCAGTAATCTGCTGCCGACGCAGCTGTCTGCTGCTGAGGCTGCTTTCTGGTGACCCCGATGGTGCTGATGTTACATCAGCTGCTGCTGCTGCTGCTGCTGCTGCTGCTGCTGCTGCTGCTGCAGTTTCATCCGCAGCAGCAGCAGCTTCTCTTCTTGCTGCTGCATCCATGGTGTTTTCTGTGTTGTTTGTATGCTGCCCTGCTACTGCTACTGCTTCTGCTGCTGCTGCTGCTGCTGCTGCTGCTGTGTTGAAACTGGCGATTGCTTTCTTAGAAAATCTACCTTTGCGGCCTCTAGGCCCCAGCGGCAGCACTGCTGCTGCTGCTGCTGCTGCTGCTGCTGCTGCTGCGTCTGCTGCTTCTCTCTCTGCTTCTGAAGCTAAATTCCAGTCTGCTGCTGCTGCTGCTGCTGCTGCTGCTGCTGCTGCTGCTGCTTGAGGCGGTGGCGGCCGATGCCCTGTATGAAGCGCCGAAGGCATGCATACAGCAAAACCACGGCGGCCTCTTCTCCCCATTGAGTTTGCTGCTGCTGCTGCTGCTGCTGCTGCTACTGCTGTTGCTGCTGCTGTTGCTGCTGCTGTTGCTGCTGCTGCTGCGCTGCTGCTGCTGTTGCTGCTGCTGTTGCTGCTGCTGCTGCTGCTGCTGTTGCTGCTGCTGCTGCGCTGCTGCTGCTGCTGCTGCTGTTGCTGCTGCTGCTGCTGCTGCTGCTGAATTTGCTGGTGGTTGTGGTGTTTACGCCTCAGGCAGCAGATGAGCTAGCTGCTGCAGGCATATATCGCTACACTGCTGCTGCAGCAGATTAGTTTTTGCTGCTGCTGCTGCTGCTCTGTTCTCAGCAGCTTTTAGGAGTTGCTGCTGCTGCTGCAGCAGTTGGAGAGCAGCCTCTCCCTGTGCTGTTGCTCCCGTCTCTGCTGCTGCTGCTGCCGCTGCTGCTGCTGCTGCTGCTGCTGCTGCTACACCTGAATCCTGCTGCATGCGCTCAGCAACAGCAGCAGCACACAACCTATCACACCGCTGCCACCGCTCCACCAGCTGCTGCAGCTGCTGCGGCTCCTGGGGGGCGATAGGTTTAGAGAAAAAAGGCATTGCGTTGCTGCTTATACTTATAAAAAAAATAAAAAAAAACAACAATATACACACTGAAATATACCAAATATACTACAAAAACCCTAAACCCTAAACCCTAAACCCTAAACCCTAAACCCTAAACCCTAAACCCTGACAGTTGGAGCGGCAGTGAGGGGCCCCAGGCTGCTGCACCCCGCTGCTGCAATCGTTAAGAAATATGCTATACAAACCACTAAACCCTCAAACCCTAAACCCTAAACCCTAAACCCTAAACCCTAAACCCTAAACCCTAGACGATGCAATACAGTATAAGAAATGTCAGTTTGTGAATATGAGGGGTGTACAGACAGCGGAGAGAAGAAATAAAAAAAGAGAGAAAGAAGAGAAATGTAAAATAAAAATAAAAATAAAAATCTACTTTTATAAAAAGAACAAAAACAAAAAGAAAATAATAAAAAAGAAAAATATATACATACCTGGCGGCTGCTGCAGCGCGCTGCGCATGCGGTGGTTTAGGATACAGAGAAGAGAGAAGAGGAGGTTTATTGTTGTTTTATTTTTTTTCTTTTTTTCTTTTTTTTTGTATTTTTATTAAAATATATATATTTATTGCTGCTGTCTTACTGCCTGCTGCTGCGTCGCCTATGCAATGGCTGCAGCGCGTAGGCAGCAGCTGCGAGCGAACGAAGAGCAGCAACAGCAGCAGCAGCAGCAGCAGCAGCAGCAGCAGCAAGGACACACACACAACAGCAGCAACAGCAGCAGCAGCAGCAGCAGCAGCAAGCATAGCGGCTGGAGCTGGAGCCGCAGCAATAGCTGCCGCAGATGCTGCAGCAGCAGCAGCAGCAACGACGTCTCCCTGACACGCAGAAAGCAGCACAAGGTGTTGCAGATGCGGCAGCCACTCCTAGAGGGCCATAACAGCAGCAGCAGCAGCAGCAGCAGCAGCAGCAGCAGCAGCATCGGTAGCAGCAGCAGCTGTAACGGGTGCAGCAGCAGCAGCAGCAGCAGCACTAGCTGCAGGGTTCGCTGCTGCAGCAGCAAACACAGCGGCTTGTTTATAGCTCTATCAACAGCTCTGTTTCTGCTGCTGCCTCTTACTATGTTTTTACAGGAGACATGGGGTCATAATAATTCTCCTGAGGAGGAGAAACTAGCAGCAGCAGCAGCAGCAGCTGCTGCTGCTGCTGCAGCAATTCCAGTATCTCCTCTCCCTGCTGCGCTGCTGCAGCAAGAAGCTCTAGCTGCTCTTCGTGGTGATGCAGATGGACGTATGGAGGATCTGCGGGGGTTTATTATTTGTGAAATAAAAGAAAATGGTTTATTATTAATGCTAAAAAATAAAAAAAATAAAAAAAATAAAAAACAAACTGTACATACACCTGAAGGAACGCACAGTGGCTATCTCCAGCTACCGGGGGGTCATGCCGATTGGACGGATTTCCCTGCTGCTTTCCTGCG